AATTAATAATCTTCACAATAAATTGCATGCTCCAATAGAGTAACAAATAAAACATTCGTGGTTTTAATAAAGAGATTTATTAAATGTTCAACGATGAAAAAGCAACTTAGGTTCACATTTATTTTGTTGCGTCACGGAGGAAAAATTACAAGAATTAATAATGTATTTACCGAATAAAAAATATTATGGATAATTGCCATGGCTTACTAAAATTTCAATTAAAATAAACGTATTTGATTATGTATGTGTTTAACAAACCGATCAAATAAAAATTATCCTTAACTTAATTTTTTATCGTTCGATAAGCTCAGAGTGAGTCATAAAAGTATTAAATTATTACCAAATATTTAGCTTTGGGCCTTTAAACATTAGCTTTCAAAACTGACTAGTCGCTTTACAATTGTTTACTCGACAATAATAAATTGGCACGTAACTCGAACGAGTGGCATTTGTTTTTTGCTTGTTTAAGTTTTTTTTCACTAATGCTCTCTCTTCGTATTTTATCTGCATTTTCCGACGAAACGCGGATGTTTCGACTTTATGCATTATCTTGTTAAATTTTATATTATTTTAATAAAGAAAATGATAAATCACTTGGTAACGACACGAATATACGCAGTTGTTGGACTAAGTAATATATGTACTTTTCTGATGTTCTTCGACACACATCAAGCTTGCATCATAAGCGCCTGGTCCATGAGCTTTTGTCTAGAGCGGTTCAAGTGGTTTCGCAGGCCCTGGACAGCTGGATGTTCTTCTGGATATTCTTCCACCTCTTGCAGATACCTTAGAGCTTCTTCCATGCAGTCCATGTAACCGGCCACTAATTCGGCGACTTCTGTCAACATAAAAATTACACGATCTTATGAGTACGCCGTTTTTAAAAAACTCCATTTCAACTCGGTTCGGTTGATTGAACAGTATTTACAACATGTTACGCGTGGCGTAATGTTATAGAAATACTTACGGAAAACGTCGACAGGTAAAGCAGATCCTGATTCTTCTTGGACGGCTATCAGCTGTGAACATAAAATAATATAGTCATTAATACCGAGTGTCGAGTACCGCATAAGTAATGAGTACCGAAAATATTGTGGGTACCACCGCCGCCGGCACGACACGAACGAGATTAAGGGATTATAAACAACGCGCATGGGTGACGGATGACCGGTAAATGGAGATGTTTAAGTACACAAATTGACAGCAGATATATACAAAATTAACGAAATGTGCCCAAGACAGCAGAAAGTAAACCTACATCATCATTATAATATTTTACATACACTAGATAATACCGCGGATGCATTTGCATCCCCAGCCGTGGACCTTCCACAAAAGGATTAATAACCCTAAAATCCAATAATAAACACCGTCACTTTAAGTGTCAAGAAGCTTACAGCGGTGGAAAACTGAGACGTCTTCAAACAGATAGTTCAGAGGAGTTCTCAGACGACAAAAAAATCAATCCGACAACAAAGCGTTTCACTAGATTGTATCTACAGGAATATTTAAAAAATCGTAGCATCATAATGCGGTCGAAACTGTCATAGGCGCACCTGCTAGTCGAATTCGTAAAATAAACTGCGCACACAAATTTAAAAGACGCGAGTACTTTAGTTTTATTCAAATCAAAATCTAGCGCTCCGGCTACTGTTTTAAAAACCATTATGCCGCAGTGCAAGTATTTTTCCTCGACCGTGTCTTTTTAGTAGATCTATAAAGAAAATTTAAAACCAAAATGGCCCATCGATTTGGAGCACGTCTAGAATAGCCAAGAGGGTGAAACGGCACAGCTGGCGCGTATAATATGAGTGTTGAGTGTAATTTAAAAAATATAAAAAAAGCGTACCTATAACTATCATAGTAATAAGCGTACATGCGCTGCTATCACCCCACACACACACATGGTCACCGTACCATCACAACCATCTGCCATTATTTTCTGCAGACGTCGCTATATGTACAGACTATATGAGTATGGCACAGACACGTCTGACAAAAGGGAAAAATACTGAAAACTGTGGCTAGTAAGTTAACTTGTGATTTTTCTCGAACGTGACACGCTCAAGGCATACGGTTCAGGTGACATGTGCCCGGTACGATTGATTTTTCTACCGTTCCGACGGCGGCAAGTAAAAAATTAAACGGTCCGTCTCGTGGGCAAGTTAGATTGATGCCGATGGCCGTACTAGGGAAAGGTATAAAGGGGTTAAAATATGAATTGTACAAAGATAGGAAACGAATAGCTGCGTTGCGATTCGCACATGCAAACTAACTTGTCGATATGTTTGAGTCGCGGTGGAGGAATTAAAAAGCGTTGATAACGTCTTCAGCGTGTCATTAAATTAGATGAATGTCAAAATATTTACAACTCGAGAAAATTACACGAAATTATTTTGCTCGGTGGTAAGCAGAACTTTTAAGTTGATAATATATATGTTACTAAACAGAAACTTTTCAAGCGATTATAGAACGACAACTAAACATGAAGTTAACAACACTCGGAGTAAACACTGAGAATTGACCTACTTTGCGGTAGTTGTACGTGCTAGCAATTTTCATTTTAAAAGTCTGCAATCAAATTTACTCTTTTTCTATTTATCGTTTTTCATTTTACAAGATCACGGGTCATATTAGTTGATAACCACCGCTGTTAGTTTCATAACAATTAATTCGCGTCAAAAATATCATCGTTTGTTTCTTTACAGAAAATGTCGAGATAATAATTCTATTGAAAATAGCAAAAAAATATTTTCTTAAAAACAACTGTCTTGAATTGTTTTTGTTTACTTGGTAATTTAATTTAGCTGATTTTATTAAACTTATCGGAGTGAAAAAATACTCAGAAATTGAACTAACTTTTGTTTAAATTGCGCACACTTTAAATAATTTTTTTCTTCTTCCATTTTACCTCGATAAGAAATACGCTTTCTTATTATTATTATTATTATTATTATTGGAGTAAATATTTAAAGATCAATAAATATTTCGAATCAATTCATAAAATACCAATCTAATCAAGAGTTTCGAAACGTTTAAAAAAGTCATTTTTTTTTTTTAATCCTAACACTATTCCACGTAGCTCCAAATGTAGTAATATTTATAAATAAAAGTAAATCGGATTTAAATTAATTACCTCGTTAGCAGGACTGTCTTGCAATAAACACGTAGTGGTCAATCGGTCTTGCATTTTGTTGATGTTTAACGATATGCGATTCAGTAAAAGTGAATTATATCCTAACTTATTCGGGTTTTTTCAAGATGAAAAAAAATTGAAAATCTTTTTGGACGTACAGAACGTGTGTGCCGTTCGCTGTGCAAACACCCGCAAGTCCTCCGCAGACGATTCGAAACGATCTACTGACGGGCAAAACCGCTACCGCCGAACAAGCCAACTGCCGGCGGTTCGATAGTGCTGCTGCTGCCGGTGGCAGGTGAGGTCGTTTAATGCCACCCTATATGGACCCACTTCCTCGTCTCTTTTTAGAACACACATGTCCTCAGTTTCGTACAAAGGTGTTCACAACATAATATTAAAGTCAATCGGTAGTCTGTGTAATCTCATCCTCTTGTTGTGCCAGAATTTTATCGTTTCAACGAAACTGAAGAAAGTTCATTATACTTAAGTTAGACCTAAAAAACATAACGCAGACTCCAATTGAATTATTCGAAATTAACTACAAAATACTGAAATGTAAAATAGCAGTGGCGTGTCTAAGTTACGTCACTGTCGAGTTATAAGTTCTAGAGGTGTTTGAACTCGAAACCTCTACAAATTGACCACTTGTCTACGGATAATTGTACACCAAACTAGTTGTACATTAATGTAGATGTCACCTCTATAAAGATAAATGTAAATACAGATTGTGATGAAAAATGTTACTATCCTTTAACCGAGTTAAAAAACAATAATAAATTGAATATTATTTTCAGTTCCTGGTTTCAAATTGAAGACGTTAACACTTATATCAAACAGTAAAACAAAAAGATTTATGATCTCTATTAAGTCACGATTTAAAAACTTAATTCCTAATTTAATGTATACTTTATGTTTTTTCTATGTATAAAAAAAAATACACGTTCAGTGTTAAATATATTTGTGCACATTTAAAGCGGCATAACATTAGTCGCGGAAACCTGCTCCTAAAAATAATTTGGGACTAAATAAAGCATAGGCTTTAAATTTATAAAAAAAAAATTGAAATATTGAAATCATTCTTTAAAAGGCTTTATACTAATAACATTTTTAAGAAACTTCAATGTATATTAGTTTAATAACTTATTAGATTGATGATCGCATTAGAACATATTGCAGCTATAAAAATAAGGAATAGTGTATAGGCAACTTAACAGTCAACGCTTAAACAGCATCAGAATGTGGTGAAAAACACTGAAATATTAGAAAATGGTACCAGGGATGTAGGAGTTATGCGAAGTTTTTCTAATAGGCATTCTGGACAATAACGGAATGTTGATTAAAGTTGAGCGAGTGTAAGATAAATAAATATTAAATATGGTACCAGGAATTCAGAAATTTTAATTACATTCGTTTAAAATTTACTGGTCGTTGAAAAGGTTGGGTAACGTCAAAACTGTTATCAATTTTATGAGACATACGCGGCCTATGATTGTATTTATGTAGTCCACCACAGGGATAATGACGGACTGGATTATTAGACGGCTAAGAAAATTTCCGATAGGTCCCTACTATTCATATCTCAATACGCCTATCAACAGGTTACAGTGAGACGACTCAAATTTTATAATTTTTTCTCTCAGTCGCCAACAGTATGTTTACAACAATATAATTTCTAATAATTTTTTTTTTTTATTGTTCTTTTTAGCATTGGCAACTATGGCCATTAGCTATAAGTGTTTACAATATATTTTTTACATTTTAAATCTTTACAATAACATAGTATTATTATTTATTTATTTTTTTTTTGATTTACATTAATATTAAATTTCTATATACAGTTTTGCTTCGTGGAAGAATCTGATTGTTTTTTTTTTTTTTGTTAATTTTCGTCCGGTTCCAAGCTTTCAGCCAATAAGTGGCCCATGTTGTTTGCTCATGTGTCATTAAATTTTTGACATTCTGTTAATAAATGTTTGACAGTAATGGCGATTAATTAAGTAAAATTAAAACTATATTAAAAATATTATTAATTTAAAAAACTAAAAAATGTGCGGTGTTGCACATTTCGCAGATGAGTGTCTCAGTCTTGTCCAGTATGTATTTGTGAGTGAGTGAGTTTCTAATAATTAATAATAACCATAATACAACTGCTATTAATAATAACTCATTATTTAGGTTTTTTCAATTGTATTTTTTTTATCTTTATATGGTAAGTTATGAAATTTAAAAAACTTAAAAATTAATACTGTAATACTAAGGAACAGTCTTTACTGTCTATGTGTGGACTTCACTTCGAAGAGATTCACCTACAACCGTGATCAAAGTTAGCACTATGTGCTATTTGCCAGGCACAGAGGATCAGTGAGCGATGAGCGACCAAGGTAGGTCATCGGTCAAAGTGTCTTCAAACAGAACACCAGCGCCAGACAACTAGGTCATCCGTATCGTTCGCCTTTGGTTTGCACCAACCTCAGACACCCTGGTCAGGCCGTGCCCACTATCCAAGCTACTACGTTTTATGGTATACGCAACCTCCAGTGCATCTCCTCACTGGTAAAGGTCGGTTAGCGCCAAGGACAAGTCTAAGGACCCATCGCTCAGCTGCTTCACCTGAGGCCAAATACTAAGGAACAGATAGTTTTTAAACTCAAATGGTTTTAGAATAACTTTTTTTTATTTATTATAAATTGAAGAATATATTTTTTAAATTTAAATTTACCATTTAGTTTAATTTAAAATAAACATTTTTTTACCGAATTAATTGAAACATTGGTGCAAAATAAAAGTTTTTCACTTAAAATATGACATTTTATATAGGAGAGTAGCGAAATCATTTCTTTTTTGGAGACAACCAAGTATATTTGGCCAACTGTAATATTATAAAATATATCTTCTTAGTTGACTGAGGTAAAAAGTAAGCTACGCTTCTTGTTCTTCAATACAATTTATGTAATTTTGTAATTTGAATAAAATTTGTTAGAACTAGAGTATTAGTAAAATTCTATAAATTTAAAGTTACATATAATTTTGTTATGTCTTATTAATTATATTACTTAGTATTAATAATTGACGGAATGCCACATTTCGTTGAAATTTAAAAAAAAATTGAAAAGGTAAAATATATGTTTATATTATAGTACATATAATTTTCTATTTTTTTTTAAGGCCAATTAATATATTTGAGAGTTTATACTCTATAATGCATTTATTAAAACATTCCAAGAGTATTTGTTCCAAAAGCACTAATTACCACTGTGTAACTGTAAATCAATAAATTTATGGTAAAACATAACTAAAGTCTTACCTTAATACCAAATCATTATTTTATACCAACTTCTTCATGCATTAAATAAAATATTAAGTAAAATTTGTTAAAAAAAAAAAAAGTATAATACAAAATTAATAGGTGTAGGTGGCTTTTTATTCGTACAAATAATAATACAAATTATTTTTTCATATCACTGAAACTAAATTAACATATATTACACAAAAATATTGCACTTTTTTTGTAATTAAGATGTAATTAAATGCATGTTTTCGTTTCTAAAAGACAATGCTATACAAATTAGACTGAAAAAAATCCACAAATATTCAAAACATAATAATACTGTTGTTAAATTGGGTTACCTACACCTTTGTAAATTATTAAATACTTATGACATACCAAAGCAAGATGTTCAATTTATAATTTTGAAATGTATGTGTATATTCTTACATTATTCAAAATTTACATAAAAATAATCTTATATTTTTTAATTCATTTATTATATAATATATTCATTTTTTATATGTAATTTAATGTAATGATAAATTTGTTCTTCTTTATCATAGTTGCCTTAAACAATATTTAAGTAAAAATTAGAAGACAAATATAAATTTCAACATACATATCATTAACAGTTTTTGATTACTTTCAATATTGTGATTATTCTACATATTCATAGAACAGTGTTCACAAATAATTTATTAGTTTGCCAAAATTATACTTAAGTGACACATAATACATAATTATATATGATAAATAAATCATTTAACTTTTAATTTAATAAAGTGCACAATTATTTTCAATTTTTTTTTAATCCTTAATAATTTAAGTACTTTATTGCACAACCAATAATACTAAACTGTGTAATATACAGTCATTTCAATAAAAATAAAAATTTATGTGGAAATCTAATTGGACGGTATCAAATATATAAATGGAAATAGAGTTAATATTATCCAGGCAAGAAATTGGCTATTCACAAAAACAAAAAATCAAAAACAAAATTTAGATTTTAATGAAAAGCAGTGCAATTTGATAGGTGTGATTGGTTAAGTAAAAAAGGTCAATTTTGTTAAAAATGATAGAAATTGATAAACATTTCAAAACCTATACATAAGTTAAAATAAATGGCACATATAAATGCAAATTAAGCTTTTTTAAGTTTACATTATTTACAGTCTTCTCCAATTTTATTTATAAATTTTAAATTATAAGAAAGAGTGGGGTTAATAATATAATAATATTGATCATTGAATTAATATAAAATTGTTCTTAGAATAAATTCTAATTAAATTAAAAAATAAATTTAATAAAATGGTAGTAATAATAATTGTTCACACAGTTGATAAAAATGTTAAACTTAATATAAAATTATTAAAGCATAATTGCAAACAAAATTTTTTTATCATGAAGAAATATGTTTGGATTAACTTTTAAAATTAAGATAGAAATAATAAGTAAAAATCTGTCAACCATAATAAAAAAAAAAATCCCCACCCTTTAATTTAATAATTTGTAACAATTCCTAAAACATATACTGAATATTCTAAAGCGCGTTAGTCAAGCATTTTCAAAAGATATGCAAAAAAGAGTGATTTTATATATAGTATTAAAAATAGAATCACCATGAAACCTCAAAGGTCAGGTGCTGCAAATCGTTATTTAGTGTATATGACATTGTGATAATAGTTGATCAAGTTTAGATGGACATAGTAGAATGATCCCATTCTAAACGAGGTTGACAGCCTCTATGTAAACCATCATCTTCTTCATTGCCGCAATCATCTGAGCTATCATCATAGTCATAACTCATATTATCATCAGAAGAATCATCATCATTATCTTGTTGACTTTGTTTACTAACTGACAAAGCACCACCATTAGATGCACCTTCTTCATTTTCTAATTGCTAAAATATTAATTTATAATTAAAAATTTAATTTAATAAGAAATAATTGACAAATTAAATGTCACTTACTTCCATTGGATTGATTGTAATATTAAGAGCTGAATCATCCCATGCCATTTCAGTATCTTGAGCCTCTTCCTGTGCTGCTTTATGATGGGCGGCTTTAATACGAACTATTCCGAGTGTAATCATTAAAACTAAGAATCCAACACAAACTACAATAATTATTGTAACTGCATGACCTCCATTAGCAACTATTGCTTGTGCATGGTCATCAATGGAACCTTCAAAGTAATTTCCAATAATAGTTTGTGCTTGTTTAGTTTCTACTGAATGCTGAATTATTTGTGCATGGGCGGGTAAAGGTTCTGCATTATCTTCATTTACTAAAGATGCAGCTGGTGGAGCAGTAGTTGGCTGTGCTATTGAAGTAGTAAAGGCTGTTGACGGTGATCTTGGATGAATTACAGTAAGCTAAAAATATATTTTATTTAAAATATTTATCTCATAAAATGTTTACATTTACTTACAGTTTGTACATATTCATTACTTAAAAATCGGCCATTCATTTCTGAACAAACAATTTTAAATTGACGATTTAAGTAATATGCAGGTTTATAATTAGTGTAACGTATATCATGTAAGGCTTCTTGATAATGGAACATAATATCAGCATTATTAAAGGTTACACCATCTTTAGTAACTTTAGCAGATATTCCAAATTTAGCCAACATATCAGCCGGAATGGTTAGGCTTTCATGATCAGGGTTCAATGAAGGATACACAGAAATAACACAAGAATCAATACGACGTTCCAGAACATTAGTTAATTCAGCTATAAAACAGTAATTAGAATAATAATTACTTAATATGTATGGTTAAATAAATATTTAATATTTTTTAGATACTCACGATATTTTACTTCATAATCATAGCTTTCAGGTTCAACACTTATGAGTATATCAGGGAAAACTTGTACACCTTGTCTAAATTCATGATACTCTCTAGGTATGGTATTAGTTCCATTTATTATAATGTTTGGTTGTTGTGGACGATGAACCATTACATAACTTTCAGCTGAAGGCATTTTAATTTCACGTCCACCATCACAACTAAAACATATAAAAGTAGATTAACTTTTAATATCATAAAAACCATAAATCAAAAATATAATTAAAAATCATAATGTTTATAACTATTAAACATTTCAAGAAAACTTACATCAATGAAGTACTTAAGTGTAAATTGCGTCTTCCAGGAGTTGGATAGTCACGACTGTTTGAATAACCTATTTTTCTTACCAAAACTTCCAAATTTGTTTTATTATCTCCTTCAATAGATAACTCAGTTAACTCTAAAATAGATTTAATTAAATTTCTTTGTAATTATCAAATTTAATATGATTATTCTATATTCAAGGCTTAAATACCGCTATTAGTTAATAATTCCATTCCAGGTTCTAATAATTCCATAGCTGGAACTTCTAAACTTTCTTTACATTTATGCAAACAAGCTAGTACTTCAGGTTTTTCTAATTTATGCAAAAGTACTGATAAACCTGCCAAATATCCACGCAGATGATGTTTCATTTTATTCTCAGAACCTAATTTTGATAAAGAACAATACATTTTTAATATTTTCTCATTTAATTAAATTAAAAATACAGAAATCAATGTTTTAATTTAATTTAATAAACAATAGTTTTAAAAAATGTACGAATAAATAGAATAAAAAAATCTTAAGATATTTTAGATTTCAAGTAAGTGGAGGATTTAACACTTCATTAGAACTTCAATTTCTAAATTTATAAATAAAATTGAAAATGTTCTAAAAAGGGGTTTTCTAAAACAATAATTTAGACTCAAATATGTAAAATATTAACTAAAAAATATGTATTATATTAACTATGCATCATATATTTTTATACTTCATAATATTAGACAAAACTTTTTTCCTATTGTACTTTATTATAAATTTTAATATTCATAATAATATCCATAATTCAAATGTAGAAATTGAATAAAATAAATAAGTAAAATCTAAATAACAACCTATTACGTGGAAATAAAATTACGAATAATTAGTAACTTAATATGATTTATTAAGAAAAGAACTAAAAATGAAATGTGACAAGAATTATTGTACTAATAAAATCATTTTACAAGTAGTGTTATAAAAACTATTGTTTTTTATTCATTGACTTTTTAAAATAAATGTTTATACTTAAATAGAGACAGGTAAAATTTTGTGTTAAATAAACAATTATACAAAACTAAGCAAATAATAAGTATCATGTTTTTGGCAAATTTATTTAATAGATTTAAAAACAAGAACAATTATTTAATACTTTATAACTTTTTTATATAAATAATTTAGATGGAAAATATGAAAAGAATGAACATGTAACTGCTCTTTTCACTAAACACATTTAATTTATAAGAAAAAATACTCATAAGCCATAATATTAATTAAATTTAATTAAAGGAGTTTAGCAATGATATGTATCTTATAATGTTATAGCTGATTTAACTAAGAACAATGCAAACAAATTGTTATATTTGTATAATAATTATTTAAAAAAAAGAATAAAGAAAAATATTGACTAAATAACACAATATTAAATTTGTTAAAACATCGTAAATCGCTCTGTATAGTTATTTTGATATTAACCATTAGATTGTTTCTAACACCTAATAAAATGATCATTTTACCTTGCCAACAAGCTCCAACAGTTAAAGTTGTGTTAATTCCTCTAGTTGGATGTAAAGGCCAGTCATCAATGACTTCTGGATTTTTAGGTTCAGATTTAAATAATACACCATCAATGTAAAGCTGTACAGTAGGGAATTGAACTGAGACTGCATAATGATGCCATTCATTGTCACAAACCTAAAAATTCATATTAGTTTGGTTAATTAAATAACCACTTTTTATTTAATTAATTTTTAGTACTTGAGGAATCTTCCATCTCCATTCAGCTGGTCTAAATATATTTAAGTCTCCTTGAGAAAAGTCTCGTCTTAATAGCAATATTAAACGACAATTTCGTACAAACCAAGCATAATGATGACGGTTCATTTCTAAAATATAATTTAATTAATTATAATATTTATTACTTGTATATAGAATTATATATATAATATTACTATGATCATCAGCAGAGCAAAGAATATGTTCTTTAACATGTTTATCTTGATGTGACATTGGTTTATGTTTCATCCAGGTTGATATGGTAAAAGCTGATGATAATCCATGATCAAGCACATCATTAGGAATGGCAACAGCAGTACTACTTCCATCAAACTCATACATTTGGTCAGATTCATGACCTTCATCATGTTTAATTGCATTTTCAGCTGATAATGGTACTCTATTTGCTGGCAATAATTCTACACTCTCTTCGCTGGCTCCTAATTTATAATAATACACACATATTAACTTGTAACAGATAATTTGACTATGATTAGAATATATTTTTAATGTAAATATATATTTATGTAGTTAAATAAATAATACATTTAAATATAATATACAAATAATTTTCTATGGGTTTTTTTATCAGCAATGTAATTTTAGTAGTTAATAGTTTTATCATTAGAAGAGCAGTTAAATCTTTAAAATTAGTAGTAAATATAAGTAATCATTATAAGAAAGTACCACAAATTTTTCTTTGGCTTTGAACTGAATATGTGTCACGATCACAACCTTTTCCAATATGTGATGTAGCTAATGTAAGTTTAGCATTCACACTTTTTACATGACAAGGATCATCACAAAGTCTCAACTGAGCATTAGGAAATAATTCCTTTCTTCCAGAGCTTGGCGAGTATTCAATTTCATTTGGCACCCCTATTTTAAATATTTTTAATTATACAAAATTTAATTTTAAATTCAAAAACATATTTAAGTTTCAACATTTTCTAATAAAATAAAGAGATTTTAATACCTTTCCAACCAAGTTTACAAATACGGTTCACTTTAATTGTAACCATAACAGGCAATGACTGTTTCATACCACAATCATATGCAACTACTGATAATATATAATTGTGACTGTGATCATAATCCAAAGGATCAGTGTTTCTTATACTTCCTATATAAAAAAAAATTATTATAAAAATAATTTATCTTTTGTATTTATTCACTATTTATGAAAAATGAATTAAATGGCACTGTTTTACCTTCATTATTGATAGTAAATGGTTGATCATCATTAAGAATATTATATTTGCAAATATCGCCAAAACGAGGAGTACAATCCCGATCAGTTGCTTCCACACGAACAATTTCTTCATACAAGCGACCTTCATCAACTTCTTTAACATAGGATGCCTCTAAGAATGATGGTGCATATTCATTGATATCAACAACAGTAATGTGTACAGTAACACTATAAAAAATAAAAAATCAGACATGCAACAAATGAAAAAAATAAAAATATTAAATATCATACTTTTCAGATATCAATCCTGAACAAGAAACTGCTGCTATATCAAATTTATACGATTTACGTTTTTCACAATTCAAAGTTTTACGTGCACGAAGCTCAGCATATCCATTAGATCGTAGAATGATCTAAAATATAAAATGTAACGTTACTATGTACTTAATGTAATTAATAATTTATTTATGCAATATAAATACTGTAAATATACATTTTCATATTATTTTAGCTTCGATCCGAAGCTGAGAAGATATTAATTTTACCATGATGTGTTTTTTTTTTTTTTTTGTATCTGTTGTTAGTTTTTCTCAGTATCACTAAGCCAAATTTTCTCAACGATACGCCAAAATATCACAAATCGTATCTAGTTGAAGACATTACCCTCAAAAATTGAAAATTTTTACCTCGTTCTCCGTAAATTATGGAAATCTCTCAAAAATTACAATTTTTAAAAGTCCGTAAAATTTGATATTTTTTTTCTAAAAATTATTATAACATTTTGAAAAATGAAGAAACCAAAATAATTTTTTTTAAATAAACACCATACGTATTTCCTTTTCATCTGATATAAATTTTATGATAATCTGACAAGTACCTCCCACAAAAGGGATTCAAAATAGCAACTTTTTTACAAAACTCAACTTTTTCAAATTAGGATTTGAAAATGTTCCGGAAATACTGTGTTCTTTAAAGATATGTTAAATTAAAACTAGATTCTAGTACATAAATTTTTTTTTTTAAACTTTTAATAACGAAGTTAAAAAAAAATTTGTACTGACAAATTATTTTCTATATGCAAATGACAGTCAAAGTAGAACAAAAAATAGAAGCTATTTTTGCTTTTGGAATAATCCACCAATTTCTTAGAATTAAACATTGTCTACAGATTTGCATCGAAGTATTTCTTATGATAGTAATTTTAATCACTGTCAGATATCATCTATATTGATCTCAACTATGCCACGTTCATACTGTATTACTGTTTTTTTTATTATAAATACAAGCATATATAAACACTTATTAAAAGAGCACACATTTTTATACATTATTATTATTTGGGTTACCACAATATGTTTAAATTTTTTAATTGAGACGTTCTCTGGACAAAGTAATATTCAAAAGAATGGCCCAAATTTTCAAAAATTGATTTAAAATAACTATTATATCATAAAGAAAATTTTGTATTATTTTGGTCATAACTAAGTTACTATTTTTATTATCATTATCACACAGGTTTTCTAATTACTATGTTAGCTTCTTATAAAAATTGGTCATAAAGAAACATTATGAAGAATAAAATTTAGACGAAACAAACTTAGAAGAATATAACAAAAAACAATTAAAACATTACCCATAGAGGCATCAACTTTCTTTGGAAGTTCTAGATTGTTACCCTAGTGATAAATTAAGCAATGGTAGTTAATAAAAAGATTAATAGCTTCCCAATATTTATCAGTGAAAAAAAATAAATTAGGTGATATTGGGCTCATAAAAATATCCTCAAAATCATTTTAGTAAATTGAAAACAAAATGGAAGGCCAATAAATAATTTCCAAAACTATCCTTCTTGAAACTTGAAATTTTTACAATTCCTAGACCTTTAATTTCTCTTAAATACCCAATACCCATTCATAATCTTGGTTTACCATAGTACTCTGGTGGTAAAAATAATAGACTACAACAACTTACTTCGAAAGGGGCTTCACCATGATGTTTATTTACAATATTGAAATTACAAACATCACCAATAGCATATATCTCTGGTACAACTTCAACAAGAGTTTCATTTTCTTTAACTAAACCATGATATCCACTATCTTTATCTTCAATTATTAATTTTGGATAAATTTCTGAAAAAAATAAGAGTTTTCAATAATTATTTTTATAGTACATTATATACAGTTTTTAATTAATTTATTTTTTATTGTTTGTCATTTAAATCTCTTTAATTTCAAATAATGATTGTAGATTCATTATTTTTCTAAGTAATTGTAAAATAATGATATTTTATTTATCATTTACACAGAAAAACTTTTTATTTTAAAATTTTTCTTTTCAATTTCATTTGATACAAATAGACTTTTTTTAATATTCAAAAATATATTATTTATAAGAAAATAATTAAAAAAAAACTAATACCATAAAAAATATATGTTAAAATTATTATAATTATATTATAATATTATAAAAATTTATTGAATAGAGAAATTTAGGTTCCATTTAACCAAATAGACTAGTAAATGGTTTATTTAAGCGATAATAGTGAAGTATTTCTTTTATTAAATTATAAGAAGCATAATAATACTTAAAAATGAATAGATAATTTTAATACTATCATGTTAAATGATCAATTTATTGATAATATACCTACTATACACTAGTATACTTTATCTTCATTAAAAAAGCTAAAGTTATACTTTTATCTTAATAACAGCTATTTGATATAATTTCAAAACTATGTAGAATAACTTAAAAGTTTATTTTTATACAAAATTTATACTTTTAACATATTTTTAAAAAATTAAACAATTACAATTATTTCTATTACCTTATAAATAAATAGTATACCATAGTTTTTTATTTATTATGTACAAATTATTATCCAAATGAATAGAAGGAAAAAACAATTTATTAAGATAGCTGTCATCTTAGGTAATTGAAATAAGAATGAACAATACTTGCATGACAAATGTGATACTAATATTTTCAATAGAAATTCAAAACTAATAATGAATCACCTCTGTCTAAGGAGTTATATGTATGACCCTGAGAGATATATAGATGTTAAAACAAAAAGACGAATTACAATCAAAATAATAATTCTATTAAAAGTAAATGACTTCAATCTATTAACAAATAATACACAATCAAAAAAAATTTTTAATTTCATATCCATTACTACTTCAACAGAACTAACAGAATTATTAAAAAATAAAAATTTCCAAAGACCAACAAAAACAATTTATAGTACTGATATAAACAAAATAATTTTGTACTTAAATCATATATTTTTGAAGTTTATTATAAAAATTGGATGAGTAAAGAAATTCATGTATATTTTAGATTTTGTTGTTTCATATGTAAATTTATAGAAAATGTTATGTCTGAATCAATACTGATAACAATATTATGTCTAAATGACCATAGGATAACAAATTATCAAATTATCAAATGAAGTTAGGTATAAAAACTACTTTTTTATGAATGACAAATTACATTTTTTGATCTCCAGAAAAGTAACTGTTAATAACTTATATTCCTTTACATGAACTCCGTCCAATTAAACACCATTTAAGGGAGAAGTTTGTTGATATACATAAAATATACTTCCATACAGTGTCATATAAATAATTATTTTTTATAATCTCTATACACTACTGAAATTCATAAGATTGGAGGGGAGTACAAATAAAAATGTTTAACTACTAAGCTACTATGAACATTTTAAGCTGATTAAGAGCAAAAAAAAAAGTCAACGAACACTATTATATTAACATTACGCAATCAATGATGGCACATGCTCTATGTTAATACAATACATTTTTTTTTATTTAGCCAATATAATTTTAAAATTAAAACTGTGCTCACAACACCAAAGATATTAAATATGTAAACAAAAAATCTGATAGAAAGGTTTTTAAAAATTCTAAATTAAAAATAGATTTCTCTGAAAATTTATTTTTTATCAAGCCTAGAATCAAGTATTAATGAAAAATTGATTGTAAGTCATTTAAACTAAAAATGAAAATTCAAGTCTGAAAAGATTACATTAATTAATACATTTTTAATTATTATATACTAAATAAAATATAATAAAGATAAATTAATATTCATTATATTTCTAAAATATATTAGTTTTTGAGAGATTGAGTTACTACATAGTCCGTTAGCAGCAAAAATATTTAGAAGATTATGACATTCTTTAAGGCATAAAATCTATATTCATTTATATAAAAAAGACAATTCTATTTAAATTGTATAAAATTTAGTTAAATATATAATAGTCTAATTTATTATGATCCAATTCATTTCCTTAAAAATAAGGTAATTTTTTTTACTAAATTTTATCTTGTTTTGTTAATTATTTCTAAAACAATAAAATATTCTGAAATTTTCATATTATATGAAGAGTGATGACCATTATTTTAATTTTATAAATATTCTATACCAAACAATTAATTTAAAAAAGAATCTCAGTTCCTAGTTTTATATTATAAGGAGTGATTCATAACATAAATTATAACACAATACAGCTAATTTGTTTATAAATTATAAAATTGATTTTCAGTGATATCTACCAAAAAAAAATAAAGATAAATAAAATATTAATATTAAGAAATAAAAAAGACAAAACTGCATTCACAGTATTCTTGAGATTAGATGGTATTAACATTTAAAAAATTTACAAATGACCTTGTTGGATTAATGCCAATACTAATAACACTTAGTTACAATAATTTTTTAGTTAATAATTTTACATTATACTACTGTGGTAGATTTATAGATCAACATTTCTTTATAAATTTGATAATAAATAAGTCTATAAAATATCTGAAAAAAAAAATTTCATTTGGAAAACTCACAATACAATTATAATTAAGCAGCTCCACAAAAAAAAATATAAAATGATTAATTACTTCATTCTAATATTGATAAACAAATCATTGTGTGATTTTTATTAAATTATTAAAAATATTATTACCTGAGATTTAATTTAAATTACTCAATCAATAATGAATTTTAATTAGAAATAAGATATTCTAAAAAATTATTTTAGGACTTAATTTAACATTTAGTTATAACTATAGAGTTAATAAGTTTTTTATTTATTAAACCTAAATAATAGCAAATTTTTTCATAAATTTAGATAACCAAATTGTATAAAAGTAATTTATGTTAGAATAAAAATTAGAAAATAACTTTTTTTATTAAAAAAATAAGTTACTTAAAATAACAATTTAGGCATAATATATTTTAATTATCTTATAATATTAAATAAATGAAATTCTAGAATATCATTTTTATGTTACAAAAATTGTAAATAGTAAGTTGCCATACAGCATACTAAAATGCTAGCATACAACACTAGAAAAACAAAGAATCTTGAAAGCAGTGTTTCATCAATGAGCTCACGAGTATACTTGAAATAATCTATTGTTTGTTAGTAATAAAAAAAATAAAAAGACATAAAAAATTACCATAGATAACGGACAGAAGGAGAAGAATGAGACACAATGTCATCGAACATAACTCGATAACTAGTTAGAAAATTTATATATACTAAAATATACAAGAAACTGGATGTTTAAAAAAAATCGTTTCTCCTTCTCTCTCTGTCTGCGTATTTTTCACTCATATTGCATCGTTTCTCCGAATGCATTGAATTACAATTGGCGTCTTCCTACACGTTCACATTAGCTCATTCACTATACATCACGTTTTTCTTCGCACTATTCATCCGGTTTTTCATTTCAATATGAACAAAGTAGATTAAATAAATCGTCACCAAAGTGACGCGTTAATGCATTTCCTTCTAGAATTGCATTTAATTAACGTCATTACGACTAATGATATGGAGGTGGTAGCCGATAATGTTCAATTTATTCTATAAACTAAGATGTGTTTAAACATTTAACACTCACCATCGGTGTCGACTGGATTGTAACACGAAATCAGTGGGAAGATGGGCAAGAGTAACACCAAACCGACAACAGCAGCCAACGCACCCCTGCAACTCATTGTTAAACGCGAGGTATCTTTACGAAATCACTTTATTTTCGAATCAACGAAACCTATATATAAAATATAGATTATATTATATTATTTTGCGAGAGGTCAGGTAATAATTTTCAATCAGATGTGAATAAGCTGATCACAAACACATAATTATACCTTTATATCACACTCGAATGTAGTTCTGAAAAACAAAAATATAATAATCCCAAGGGTCGCGCGGCAATAACGACAACCCTTTGGTTACATTAAATAAATAAAAAATTACAACGTTTAACCGTGAACTTTACGAGCATACACGGACAGTATCGAGAGAACACTGACACAGAAAAAGTACACTCCGAGAACGCACGACGAATGACGGGGAGGTGTGTACTACCGCCACCGCCGCCTTCTACCCATCGCCCCACACGATCGACGCGACAAATCAATAATTTACGTGAGTCAGACGAGAGCCAGTTATGCTTTTTGTCCGTAGTTTCTTCATGGAAGAGAAAATACAAACCGACGATTAAACATTTTAGGTGTTGGTGTGTCAAGGTCGAAGGTTTTGTGAATTATTATTTCTATAAACTCGAGATTAAAGTACTAATTGTTTATTATAACATATTTTGCACCGTGTATCTAAATCTAATTCATAATTTCTTTATATTAAAACTGTTTAAGAATTTAAAGAAAAATTATTAGCCAAAAAATTTTACTTAAATTCTACAATTAGTTTAATTTAACGATTTTATAACTGAAATACTGTAAAAACAAAATTGTGATCAATTTACAAATATCTTCAAATGTTTAAATATATAATAGAAGACTTTGTTAAGCCATTTCTAAAGGTCTAAAGTTTACTACGCAGTAGTAAAACGTAAAAAAAGCTTCGTCGTCTCGCTCATCATCCTCAATTCGAGTATCGCTCTTATGGCTATTTAAATAACAGTAATACATAAAGAATTTTGTTCTGGAGTCTAAGGGGTTAAAGAACCTAAGGCCAACGCAATATAAACATATTAAAAGTATCTATAAAATAGCAATGCCAACAATATTTTTGGAGGGAAATCCCATGACTACAAAGATGGTAGTGTACGAGTGAAAATAACAATGGTGTAATAAAGTTTCATTTAGTTCTAAATTTTCCATGGTTTATTCTCACAGTATAGTATACACTTTAATAGCTTAAGTATATAATTTTAGCAAAAAAAAAACAGCGTCTTTTTAATTAAAAACAATTTTAATAAAAACAACGTCTTGTTAATTTAATTGAAATATAAAAAAAAAAATCAGTATCTTGAAAAGACAGAAAGGTCTTCTAGATTTAAGGACTCTAATAAAAATTCCATTCCTCACATTCCTCTATTTACATCAGCGATCTACTTAGTGATTCACACTACAACATTCATCTATTACATACATGATTCTGAAGATGCAAGATTATTTTGTGTTCTTATTATCGAGTAGAATAAATTGTTAACAGTATAATCTTAAAAATAAAATTTTTAAGAATTACTTAACTTTGATGGGTCTATGTCAGAAAAAGTTTTTGTGCCATTAAAACTTTCTCTGCTAAAAAGTAATGTTTTCATAAAAAAATGTCAATTCTTACAAGACTTTTTAATTACAGATAAAGTTGTATCTATATCGGGCGTTTGGTGAACGGCGTACTATACTTTTGAATTACTTATACAAAACAAACCACAGCCACGGGAATAATTAGTATTGCGTCGCAGCAGGAACAAAAATATTATTTTTTAATTTGTGAACTGCGAATTACACGAAAAAAAAAATCAATTTAAAATATTATATTAAATTGTGTAAAAAATGATAACATAAACACTTATATTAATAACTTTATAATTAAAAAATAATCAATGTAATTTAAATATATCTGTAAAAATTGTTTGGCACAGCTCATTTAAAAACTTATTTTATGTTAAACTATTTTATTTTTTCTATTGTAATCTTGATTTTAACAATTATTTTGAGTTAAAATGTCATGAGTTTTTGTTTCAAACGCTGTATATTATGTATACATCATAATTTATAATTTGTTATTGACACATTTAAAATAAATATAATAATAAATCGTAATTTTTTACAACTCAAGTTATGGAAATATTACTAAACGCTGTTTGTTAAAATTCGTGAAAATAAATAAATGTAATACAAAATATCTTGTATTTTTAAGAAACCATTTTTTACAAATTAAGAAGACGTAATTATTAATTAAAATAATTTATGTAAAAATTCAATAATTATTAATTACAAACATAAAAAATCAAAACAATTCATATCAATCATAAATAATGACTAATTTGAATTGTAAACATAACGTAAAGAAATAATGAAATAAGTACTTAAAAAAAACAAGTGAATAGTACCTTAATAGTAATTTATTTTCAAACAAAAAATTAACAAAAGAAGAAATATAAACTTTTTATAAATTGATTTATTGTAAATGGTACTTAAAAATTTATTGTCATGTTTAGCACGCAATCTAACAAAAATAGTTCGACTCTTCAATTTTACATCATTATTCTTAATTTACATTTTTTTTAATATTATTATTCATCAAAAACATTACTGTCATTACACTAATTGTTAGGTTGAACCTCCTCTTTTTTTATTTCTTGTACTCTTATCTTCGACATACCTTTAATGTTATCTAATGTCATTGAGATTATCTCAATTTTTAATTCACCATATCCTATTACTATTATTTATGTATTACAGTTTTTTTACTTATGATCAGACATTTAATTACAATATTTGATGATATTTACGTTTATTTTTATTCTAAAATTAGTTAAAGGCTATGCTTAAATTTTACAATCTAAAACACGCGCAACTTAAACTTAATACAAAAAGAAACAATATTAATTTTTCTAAATTAATTAATTAATTTTAAAAAATGTGAATATATAAGGCACATATCTAAAATTATAAGTAATTATTATCATTTATAATTACGTTTTGTTCTTAAATCTTAATAATTTAGGAGTACAATTTGAATGTGCTTGAAACACCGTCTCTAGTTAGAATTGCTTTACCCCATGGTGATAAGTCATAACCTCTCTCTGTGTATAATAAAGGTCCAAATATTACTCTACCTAAATTACTTTTTAAAAAACCTTTTTCTTTTAACGAAATTACTAAATAACCATTTGTAGCCATATTCATATCCATGCGAATATCTGCAGTAAACTCATAATAAATTATATCAGGATTACATATAGTGTTGAGTACTGAAGGTGACTGATATTCCTTGTGTTTTTTTCCTTTATTAAAGTGAGTAATTTTGACAAAAGTTCTGGACTTCTCTAAAATTAATGTATCATAACATAATAAAATTACATATTACAACTTGATAAAGAAACGTTTACTTTAAAACCATAAATTATGGTAATGTATTACGAATTAATCCACAGCATATTACGAAATTTTAAAGTTTGACTAATTGTTACATAGTAGACAACAACAAGTCTAGAGCGTAGGCATTGAAGTTGATTAAAAAAATGTGATCATTTTTTTACAACAGCATTTTAACTTAGTTAAAAGAATGTATAAGTATTTTTATTATCTTATTATTCAACAAAATTGTAAAAAAAAATTATTACTATATCGGTGTATTTTTTCATAATTTCTAATTATAGGCTATATATGGAATAGGGCGCTAGAAGCATAACCTCCCAATTATAATTTCCACCAATTACAGGATCTATTTAGGAACTTAACCAACAGTACTTGCTTCTTTGCTCCCCAGCATAGCCCTGCATGTTTATTATTCATTACTAATTACTGACCATGAGGTAAAATCAGATTTGCAGCTTCATGAACAACTATACGTAAAATTTCTCTTTCTTTTTTGTAAGACAGTGTAATGCGTAAATTTGAATTATTCATTTCTTTAGGCTGAAAAATATATCAATGAATTTACTTTATAATTTCTTTATTTAGATATTAAACAAACCCACGAATTCTTGTAAAGTTTTAGAGTCTGTGCTCCATCATTTGATAGCGTTAAATCATCTAAAAAAAGTAATGCATGACCGATTGCATCATATTTTCCTTGGTTCTCGTGATCATATACTGAAATTCTATTATTAGACACAATTTAATTTAAGAGATAATTAAAATTATTTATAAAAAAAAATCGAGTTTTATACCTAAGAACTTTATTGTTTATACTTTTAGTGCTTAAATAGAAGTCTTCGTTGACCACTGGACTCATAGCGGCTCCTATTGTTTTACTGGTTTTTGTTGTTTTTTCCTGTGGCAGTAATGTAAGTTTTAAAACGGTTTTATAAGGTCGTTTATCTTTTCCTTTAGGCGCTAGGCCATCCAAATTATCCACACGAATAAAAAGTCTAAAAAATTGTAGAAAGACAAGTTGTATACTTTAAACTAAATCTTAAAATATTTATGTTATTTTACTTTTTAATTTGTTGATCATAAGCAACTTTAAAACTAATATTTCCATATCCCTGATCTTGACATGCATTGATATCAGAAGACTGTAAATTATCTACTGCTATTCTCCAATTATTAGCTACTGTTTCACTCGATTTTGATCTTATTGATGTAAATTTACTGGTAACATTCATCATAGAAGTTGCAACCGATCCAAATCGAAGAGAACGTACAGTAGAGGGCGTTGTTTCGCCAGTACTTACGACTGATGACATAGCAAAACTATCTGAATCTGTTGTTGATGTTACATCCTTTGGGGGATTAATAATTGTCTTATATTATAAATAAATAAAATGCAAAAAAATTAAAAAATATTTACTAACTTGCATGCTCTGCGATTTCAACCAACCTGTATTTTCTTTACAAGTTGCTGGAGAAAGATAATCCATTTTTTCTTCTTTTTTTGAAAATTCTTTTTTAACTGATATTATACTCTAAATATTAAGTAATAAAAAATTAATTAATTTAATACATAATTATATGTAAAAGTTTACCAGGTCTGGTGTAGATGTTGACCCAACTCCAGAAGCAATAGGTTGTAACATCATCATGCTTACGCCAGCTAAAGTGTGAAAAGAATCAGGAGTTTTTGGTTCTTTGGTTTTTTTTATAACTTTACTCCACTTTCCTTTTTTTTTTATTGTATTTTGCGATTTTTGTGGCAAGTCTTCTTCTTCGCCTTCACTTGTAACACCTCCAGACACTGAGATACCGTCATCATCATGTGAAATGCCTCTTCCAAAACTTAATAAATTGAACAAATTTTTAAAATTGATTATATAATTTAAAATGTCATAAACTAATTTTAAAAATAAATATGGTGCTTTACCTGGAAATCTTTTGAACAGTGTAACATTCGGTGCTACCTGTAATAGTATTTCCATTTTGTAATAATCCTAAATTAATACCGACATCTTCAGGCTGACGACCAATACCAATATAATAAAAGCAACACCGGTACCAATTTTTGAACATTGTAAAGCAACCCTAAAATTGTTATATAATTAATCAACTAGGTTAGCATAAAATAATTTTTTTTTATTAAGTACTTACCTTAGAATGTAATGTCATATTTTTTAGATAAATACTAACTGAACTGTCACAATATTCTACGTAACATGATTTCTCGAAAACTATCAATTATGATTTACTTTATACAATTTAAAAACAATATTATCATTCTTATTTCACAGGTAAACCATATTAGTTATTCACTTGAAAATAGTTTTTTCGATTATACATTCGGCTTTATTCGTTGCAGACAGATGTTTCGGTCAACTGTGTAAATACATAATATAGGCAAACGCTAGCGTGGGCCCCTATCATATCATGTAAAATGTGCAAAATAAAAATAACAAGAATATATTAAAAAGTGTGTTTATCGATATCGGAAGTAACTATGTTACACTTTAAACAAGGTAAAAGTATAATTTTGAAAAATCCTAAATTGTGTGATAATTATAAATAACCCTTTTAAGGGCGCGAATTCAAGATTTTTTTCGAGAGAAGTAGGGAAATTTTTTATTATATTATAATAACCATTTTCAATAAAAATTAAATAGTAACATGAGTGTTGGGTTCATCACATACCATATTTTTATCGTTTTTATTTTTTAATATATACTTGAAAATGGCGAAATTTATTTTCACCTTCTCTTATTATAGAAAATTCCTTTAAAAATTGATATCATGACTATTTACACAAGGAATTAGAAGTAGGGTGCCTAGTAAAAAAAACGATTCTTGAGCTAGAATAGTTGACCTATTTTTACTTATTAAGTATAGTTTTGGTAATTAAAAAAAAAAAATTAAACTCATTTGAAAAAAATTCTGATTGCTCCTCTAACTACTTACAAAAAAGACGAACTGCATGAATATTATTAATAGATACTACGATTGAGCCAAATAAGTTTTAAAATAATTGTAAAAAATAAAATCTCTCCCAAAGCTCCATTTTTGGGTTTAATGTTCTCATCGACCAACTATATAGCACAGTACATTAGCTTTAATGGTTTGGTTTTAGTCCTCTATTTAAAAGTTAAATATGACTACAATTGTTTGGAGGATTAAGAATATTGATTGAGTCTACAGTTTGTAGAATACTAATGTTGTATCAGACGATTACAGTAGTGTTATGTAAATGTAATAAGTCAAAGATGCACATGAAAATTAAACGGAAATTAAAGGATAACTAATCTACAAGTACGTAGATGCTGTAATAAGTATTTATTCCTGAATTATATTTATAAATCATAAAACTTTCAATCTGGATATGATTTAAGAAATAGGAATTGATTTCATTTTGAAAAAATTCAATATTTCCTTTTAAAAAATAAACACTACCTACAGATTTGCTTAAGCGTTTTTATATGCTTTTAATACTGTCAAACGTGGCACAATGGAACAACAGGTCTGAGTGCATGGGCATTATGTCCACCTCATTAATAAATAATACTTTCAAATATTATCTATACTTGTCCCAATTGCTTTTTTTTAATTGCCATTAACAATTAAAAAAATAAAATATTTGAAACAACATTTTTTTGTAATTAAGTTAAATACTTATTAAAATCTTTAAATATATTTTTAATTAAATATTGTGTAGTATAAATTTATTACGAAAAAAAAATTTAGTTATATGACTCTTTTTCTATGTGAATTGTTGAACAAAAAGTTTTAAAAAATTAATGTGTGATCCATTGGTGCATTAAAAAAGGGAATAAGAGGACTATACTCTTCCAATTTTTTTTTTTAAATTTTTGAGTCATTCCAATTGAAGTGTTTTATTAAAATTACGTTAGTTACTGTTCGATTTCAATCTAATCAAGTGTTGTTATTGGCGTATGCAGACTTTTGGGTTCGGGACAGCTAAGTCTTACACTAGCCCACATTGCATCATCACATCTTAAAGGCCCACTTTACAAAAATATTAAATTTAAGACTATAAGAGACTTAACTAATTATCATTAAATATTTTAGGAGTAAATCATTATCCTTTCTAATACCCCCTTACAGATAGAGGAATTGCTAGAAAATTGTTCTCCATCTTGAATTTAACACTGTATACATTTTTATTATTATAATTATAGTAAATTAATGGGCGACCCCAAGTAGTTGGGATTAAGGCGAGGAAGAAGAAGATAACTATAGTAAATTAATAAATTAATTATGACTAATAATTATAATTTTGAAAATAATTACTTATCATGTTCATTGTTCACTAATATGAAAAAATAATACAATAGAGAAAACTACTACTATGGAGCTAAGATATAAACTTAAAATCTAATCTCAACGTGTCAAAGATGATTAAGTTTAATAAAAATAATTAAATGAATATTATAACTAACTAATGACAAACTCATAGACCATGGTCCCCTCATTTTTATTCTTTATATCGAACTATACAGTCTACATAATATTGAACTATAAGTACTATGAAAGTAGCTACTAATAGTAAGAGCAAATTTTAAACTGTTAAGATATCTTTAAGCTCTAAAAGTAGTGGATAAAAAATTAATACGAGTAGAAATTAACATGTCACATTTCTTAAAATAATCTTTTAATAAATTATATTAAATTTTTATTTTTACTCGTGTTATTAAATATAACCATAGATGATAGTAAAGTCAACAAGTTGACTATCAATCTTTTATATGGTATTCATAATTTCAGATATTATATGAGTACTTACCTAATAAGTCATATTAATATTATTATACATTTGTAACTTAAGAATTACTGTTTTAAGATTTAACTCAAATATCAAAGCTTGTTAAATGCATTAGACATTTTGTTTGCTCTTCCCTTTTGCTTAAAAATGAACTATAATTCTACGCCAATATCAGGTACAAAAACCGATTTAATACATTTTATATTGTACCGCCGTTTTTTACATACTTTTGTCTATACAAACATATGTTCGTGACTTGTTACCCGAGTTTTCTATCATTAGTCCTATTATATAATCTCTATAAAGATCGGGATTAAAAGAATGATCGAAATCCTTCTCATTAATAATATTGAAAGCATAATAAAATTTATATACTCAACAGTTATAAATACCTGTTTGTTTCGTTTCGGTAGCATTACATTTAACAAATGATAACTCAGAAAATTTTTTATCTTCATAATACACTATTTTATAGCACATGCAACTTTTTTTAATTTTGTATGTTTAATTAATAGAGTACATTGAATCCATTATATAACACACATTAAGCTTAACGTTTTCATGTTGCTATAATTCAATGACTAGTATATTTTTTAAAATTTAATATATATTTTGATGTTTTATTTATATTTCTACATGCTAAAATATATGACATTTAATTACAATATAAAACTCAAACATGTTTGTTTATTCATAATAAATATAAAAATACTCAGCCATAATATAGCATTCAAAAAGTAAGGAAATAGAATAATTTTTAAAAACAATGTGATCTAGTTAATCTAAATTTTGCGGCATATTGTACCAGTTATCTTTTTATAATAAATTGGAATAAAATTAACATTTTAAGAGCCTTCAAAACAATAACTGTGAAGCGTCTAAAAATGAGCAACTGTGATCATTATAACTTTTATAATTTAATAAATATAATAAATTCCTTATAAAAGAAAATACTTTTTATTTAATTAATTACTTTCTTTGATAACAAACGAGTTTTATCTTTTTGATAGTCATGGAGTTTGCTAAAAAATATCAATACCTAATTAGAATCTCAATAACCTCGGTTTAAGACTAGGTGTATACTAAATATATTATGCTCCGTTAACAGTAAAATATTATTAAATATACATGGTTACTGTCTAATAATACATATTGACCAATTTTTTTCCAGTAAAATTGATCCTTTTATAAATAAAAAAGTTATCTTAATTAATAAAAAATTTATTAAAATACATAAAATGTTTTTTGTTCGAATTCATTCAAACAGCCAGAACTCATTATTCTACCTCATTAACCAGATCCTGAAAAATAAAAAACCATTAAAAAATTATTTTATTTTTCACAAATAAAATAAGTCATCTGATTAAATTTTTAGTCATTAGATTTAAAAATAAATAACATTTAGTGATTAATTGCAATGTGATATCCAACACAAATATATTTGAATAATTTTTTTCTATTAAACCTTTCAATATATATATATTCTATTAAATTCACTGAATAGTTTTATCTTATAACTAATTCGTTAGTTTTATTTACTGTTAATGAACATACAAATTTAAAGGACTAATATTAATATTAAGAGAAATATTAAAACATTATTAGATTAAGCACAAGTATATTTAAGAATTTATAGCACCAGATGAGAACTTTTTGCAATAAAAATTCATTTACCTCTAATTACATACCACCTAAAATAAGTAACCATAGGATGAAAGTGTGTAAAATGCAAAGGCAAAAATAAATCTTTTTTAAAAATAAAACAAATTAAATCAATATATATATATATAATAATTAATAATTGACCAGTAAGTAAAATTTAAGTAATACTTTATTTTATATTAAAAATATATTTTATAAATATACATAGAATATTAGATATATTATTTAGATAAATAAATTTTAAGATAATAAAGTAATTTAATTAATTTTGATGATGAGTTTTTAGTTTAAAATTCAAATATCTAATAAAAAAAATGTTGTCATAATTATACAAAACTTCTAAAAGTACTAAGATGAAATTTTATAAGATTGAAAGAAAAATTAAAATAAATAATAAAATGCCTTTTCACCTTTGCAGCAAAACTAAAAAATCTAAATGACAAATAGATTATAATGTGACAATAAATCCCTTTTTATACATATTTCAATAGCTAATTAGTTTATATTATTAATTAGTATAAAAAACTGAGAAAATTGAATTCGTCGAATTTTAATTAGAACTATTTTTTTATAAAATATTCAATTAATATTTCATCTTGTGTTTTTTAACTATTCGAGAGTTTGTTAACATAAACTTAATCCAGATAATTATAACTCTACTTAATCAGAAATTAAATATTTTATTAAAATGATTATTATATTTAATATATTATTTAAATGATACATGTATTGGTGATGTTTGATCATATCAACAAATTTAGGAAGAGACAATATTAAATATTCTTTTGATGTATTATGATAAAAAAATTGCAGACATCAATTATGTAAATTACTTGATTATTGTAGTTAGCATCTTAAAACTACTATTACCTGTACATTCCTGGAGAGATGATAACAGATGATGAGTAACAATGTGTAGTGAAAAAAATTATCAACTATATGATACTAGCATTTGATGATAAGTTGTTAATTAAATGAGTTTCTAAGTTACTTGAATGTATTTATTAGAAGCATTGTTAGTTATAGATATACTTTAAGGTTAGTTAAGAATTATAAATGCTAGCGAGCATCAAAACTATAAGAAATTTAACTTAGTTAAGAAACTGCACAAAAATACAGAGATGATCCGTAAAAAGTATGTATCTAAGAATATATTTCTTAGTATAAGAAAAGACAATGAGAGTTCTAATTTTAAGCCTTTTTATAAAAATTTATTCAATAGTAGGAAGTTTTACGTACATGAGGTTGTACTAGATATGACAACATAAATAAGATTTCTTTTGTCGGACTTATATTTGTTTAGGGTGTCATATACTCTTAAATGTAATAAGTGATATGTTTATTGCCAATGTATGATTAGGTCAGCTTGTTATTACTTATTTAATTATAGTTATGTAAATAATAGATAAAAAATTAAGTGTTCTTATGGAATGCGTGTACTTTTGTGTGGCCCAAATATATACTATAAGTTTCTAGATTTTTCTCAAAACTTCTAGAAGAAAATACTATAATACATTTAATGCAAAAATACTAACCAATTAGACACAAGATTATTTCTAGTATAATTTATCCAGAAGGTTGGTTGCTGCAGCAAACACCAATATATTAATCCAATATATTACTCAATTGTGACAAATTATTCATCATTCAGCAACATGCTACTAACAATATTCTGTAACATAATAAAGTAACTTATAGATTAATCAATGTAGAAATATATGTTAAATTATTATTCTAGACTAAAAGACTTATTTTACTAAGAAGTCTTAAATAATCATTAAAAAGCTTTTGATCTAATTTATAGGTACCAAATATCTAAATAAAACTAATATATAATTACACAAGAAATACTTATAACATTTATATTTAAAAAATAATCTTTTTCTTTTTTTTTTATATAAATAATTTTGATATTTGAGATTCCTAATTCATATGATAGATGTGCAGTTGATTAATTGAAACAGTCCACCGTACCAAGTGTTATAGAATACGATGTAGAAAACAAAAGCTTAATTCTATTATCATTATTTATTTGAAAATAATAACAGCTGTAAATTATTCTTGCATAATATAAAAACGAACATAATTATTTATAAGGAAAAACTAAATATTTCAATTAAGTTGACACACAGACAAACCAACAGTATGAATTTAATTATTGTTTACCTAAGAATGAGTATATTACACGAATCGTAAACGCATCGGCTTCGCTCGAATATTCTTCAGTACGACGCACGTATCGAACGGTGTAAGAAACACGTTTGACGAACTATTCGATCGGTCGGCTGTAGTATTCATAACTAAAAAACACTTAACTAATATAAGAGAACAAAAGAACTACAAAAAAATTGTCATTTTTCATTCGATTATAATTTATTACAATGAAAATTACAAAGTTTTTGTTGTCATAAAATTTGTTTGGGCTTACAATATTTAAATGTTTCATTATTACTTTTATTAATACAAATTAACTTAATTATAAAATGTTTGACTACAAAGATTAATAATCTACATAAGTCACTAACTATTTGTAATAACTCGATGATAAACAGAAACTTAAGAAAATAAATTGTTAAGATTGTTGAAGACCTAAAACACAATGTCAATGAAAATTCTAAATAATTTTAGAATATTTTTAAGTTTTACAAAATAATGCAGTATATTTTATTTGGTTATAATCTTAGTCCCAGATAACTTAACCATTATTAAAACTAATTCCTAAATAATAATAATAATTAATAATTATAGTAATCATACAAAAAAAAATATTAATTTTTGACACTAAGAATTTATCTATTAACCTAAAAAAAAATGTATGCTGACAAATAATCTTATACAAGATTTTATAAATGTAGGTCTTCAATTGTTTGTCTTAATGTAAAATAAAAAATGTTGTAGGTCGACGTTGTGTGTACAGTTATCCGATCTGACGACGCGAGTACACGGCCACGGCACGGAAGTATTTATACGAATATATCATTTAATACGGCGTGTAACGCGACGACCCGCGAGATCCCGACACTCTGACGGAAAAGAAAAACATAATTGGAGATTAACCAAATGTAGATTTGTAAACAAAATTAAATTATTTAATTATTACAGACATGCAAATTTATGCAAATCTATATAATACATTCAATTTAATAAATTAAAAAATTAATAATAATATTTTAGCATATTATATAACAAAATTACCATTCTATGTAACTGACAAGCTATGATTTATTTAAGCAATTATTGATTATCAAAATGCTCCCAGTATAAAACAAATAAAATTATAATACTGTTATACCCACAAAAAGTATACATGCAAAAAATTACTAAATATTATAATTGGATATATTTAAAATATTACTGAAATAGAAGAATAAATGAGGCTGATTGATACTTAATGAACTAATATTTTGTTTATTGTATAATTTAAAATTGAGAACTATAGAATTATTATTTAAAACAATTAACACTTATTTCAAGGAATTAGGATATTAGTTCAGATTAAGTTGAGAGTGACACGCAAATAAAATAAAACCAAATACATAATAAGTGTGAATACTATGAAATTAATAAGTTTTATCATTAACAAGTAATACAATTGAGATAAATTCAAAAATAAATTTAATTATCATTTGAGATCCATAACTACAATTTTTTTATGGCACAACGCATAGATACACTATGCTAACATTTTGATAATTTCTATTAGGTTAACTAACAGACAAATTTAAGCAAAAAAATTCTTATTTAATCTTAAAAAATGATGTAATTAACTATTAGATAAAATCACCTATTAATTTGTCAATGAATTAACCAAATTTTATTTTATTGAATTTTTTTTTTTTTTTTAGGTATCAATCAACATCAAAATTCTATTCCTCCTAAATTTCTATTCAAAAATAAAATGATAATAACAGAATTAAGGGACAAAAAAATACATTTTCAGCCCCTTAAGTGACACCACAACCAATTGTTATTTAAAAATAGTCAGTTAGCAAACTTTATTTTTAACTAAATGTTAATAATTTCTTAATTAAAATCTAAATATTTTATAAGAATATAACATAAATACATGTATAATGTATGTAAATGGTTAGCAGCTTATTAAGAAAAAATATTTTTACATAAAATATTGCAGCATTAAATTTATTATTTATCAAACAATTTTTGTTTGATACTGATATTAGTTTAAGAACACATCAAAAATTAGTTAAATTATAACTTTAAAATTAATTAGTTAAAACTATAGTAAGCATACTTAAAAAAATTACTTGAAATCTATGAATAAAAAATCAATATTTTATAAACCACAGCCTTAGTTAATATAAACATCTAAATAAAATCAATCGTACTATAAGTATTAAAAAATCTTCACCAAAAAACTTTAATAGAAATAAGATTCATTTTTATTGTGCTAAAAAAAAATGTATATATCTTACCAAATAAAAAAATATCCAGTATAAATTTACTACTGAACTATGTATTTGGTTTTTTTAAAATTTTAATCAAATGTTTCCATAAAAATGTATAATAGGGTAGAGGGTTTACTTAAGAGTTAGTTAATAATAAAACTAATAATTATTAGTATTTAATATCCAATACCAATTCAGTAATAGTGCATTATCAACTAAATTTAATAAATTAGGTATTAAAGAAATACGAATAATTTGTAAGCTACTAATGATTTTTGGCAAAAATGGTAATACTATTGGTATAAGTTAAAGCAAGCTTGTAATAAAAATATAAGAAGTTTTGAAAAAAGCGAATAGCAAGCATTTCATCTTACCGTCGATCATCATAGGAATCCCTAGAAAAATCATCATATGCATGAGAAGACCTAATATAAAATTTTTAAATTAAAAACACATTACAATTCTTATAAAACATATATATATGGCAAGACTTACGATGTACGGCTACTTGATAAAGGCGAGCGACGAGTAAAAACATAATCAGGATCTCTCATTGTACTACCCATACGTGTAGATGATTGTAAGTAATCACGGCTAGAAGGCATTCTAGGAATACGTCTATCCATACCATAACTTCCATCAGCTGCTGAACGCATTAATCCGCGATCATAGTAACGATCATACAGACCATCAGCCTAAAACCACATTATGGATAATTCTATTAAGATTAATGTTATTAATTTAAAAAAAGTAGATTTACCTCATACATATGACTTCCTAAATCAGCATGAGACAACATTGAATAATCGTCCATCTAAAAGTTTAATTATACACAATTATTTTCTCAGAATAATCAGAATGAATTTCACTAGTAATTAACATTAAATTCTAAAGTCTTACCCTAGTCAAATCTGATTTCAAACCCGTGCCATAAGAACTCAATAAACGATCTCGAACAAATGAAGGTGGGGGTGGAGGAGGATATAAAAGAGCACGAGGTGGAGGAAGTGGTGGCATAGCTTCCCTACCATAACCATACCTAAAAAATATTTGGGATTTAAATAAAACTTTACATATTTTCAGCAACTAAAAATTAAAGAAGAATGTGCGAAATAAGTTGTAAGGCTCACCCTTCACGGCTGCACTCGCGAGACCAATGACCACCCTTGCCGCACCTGGACAAAATTTCCCATTTTACTTTATATTTATAAACAAATGTAATTCATAAATTGACTACCAAATTACTTCAAAACACATTTTCTCTGAATCAAACTCATTGATTACATACCTGTAACATTGTTCTGGCATACCCATTCCTGGTCTTTGCCGTACGCGACTGTTAGAAATTTGAACTTTAATTGGTTGACCGTCTAACATGTGTCCATTTAAGTCTTTGATCATCCTACTTACATCAGTTGAGTCAATATGCTAAAGTCCAAAGTTTATAATTATTTATAAAATAAAATTATAGACTATATAATAAAATTATATTTTAAATATGACATACCACAAATCCATAAGTTCGAACAATATCACATTCAACAACAGTTCCATATCTGGAAAATAATTCACGAACTTCAGGAGCTTTAGTAGTTTCCGACAAATTGCCCACAAATATTTTAGTAGTCGGTGTATTAGGACCTCTGCGACTAGTAGCCGCTTCTACCTTCATGGCTAAATCATTTACCATTGTACCATTCAAACCTTTAATAGCAGCTCGACCATTATTTTCATCATCCATATGCTTAATTATGTAAATAACTTATGAGACATCTAAAAAATTCTTTAACACAAAAATTTAAAAACTTACAACAAAACCAAAATTTTTCATAACATCACACTCAACAACTTTTCCATATTTTTCAAATAATGGCCTAATGTCATTAGATGTAGTTTTTTCAGATAAATTTCCAATAAAAATTTTGAATGTTCTTACACTTGTGTTATTGAAACTAGTATTACTTTCAGTATCAGAAGGCATTTTTTCTTTTGCTAAAATAATTAATAACACATTTTAGTTATGATTAATATGGATTTAAAAATATAATAGCTCAAGCATAATTAAAATCTAAAAATTTTTTTTAATTGCGTACTATGTACTATACCAGTACTATGTACAATTAATGGTGTAGGCATTAATGGCTTATAAGTCATTAAATAAAAACAAAAAATTCAGTGAAATGGTTCTCTACTCATTGCACACTGACCAAAGATCAAATATATAATTGTATTAAAATTTGCCTTAATGAAAAAAATATTGACAATAAAAATTGTTTGTATATATACTTATGACTAAAGGACAAATGAATTATATTTTAAGTCAAGACATAAAATGTAAGAAAAACAATTTGATAAATGTTATTAATATTCAAGTAACAATGTTGTAACATTATTCAAGTATTAATTTTTATCTCATGCTATTTTGAAATTTTACATGTTTTATATTAACACCAAAAATGGATTTTGAACCTTAAACACAATAATTATTAGACCTTAAACTCATTTAATAATGTGCTAAGTTAAATAACTATAGTTAAGAAGTTTTATTTATAAAAATAATTGTGTTAATTATTATAAACTTAATGTTTCCCAAAAGTTTATGTTAGTATAACAAGAATGAATTTATTTAAATTTCACCAATGTTTCCTACCTGCTGTCTGATACTACAATCAGAAAATTAAGTATCAGTATTCAATCACAACTTCTTACAGAAGTACAACAATTTTGATAAAAATAAACCAGCAACTTCTACTTCAGGATTTAAACTACAACACAACATTATTTTTAATCCATATTAATAGGATACCAAAAATCAACTAAAGTGAGAATGTATTTGACAATGAAAAAAACTTTAATGTATTATATAAGTTATTATCATCAATTGTAATTCAAAAGTTGTGTTAAAATATAAGAGAATATGAATAAATTTATTTATTTACATAATAAATGCTAAGTAGCAGATTACAAAAATAAAATATTAAGTTATTAAAATATGTACTTAATAATATTTTGAGTGGTCAACACTTCGTCAATAATAAATTTTCATTCAAAAATAATATATATTGTAGTTTTTATAGTTGTATGTCCTATTCTAATATCTTTCAATTTTAATGAAGCAATCTTGTTAAATAATCATGTAAATTTTATAATTACAATGTCAAATAATTGAGCAACCTCCTAAGAATTATAAAATATCTTTGATTTTTTGCTAATTCATAAAGGTTAATCAGAACCATGTAAATTACATGCGAACCAATATTTCAATTTAGACAGCCTTCGTTAATAGCTTGTTAAATTTTAAATTGTTCAATAGCAAGACATAAACGAATATGCTAGCTTTTTTATTACCAGTGCTTTCTTCCACAACAGTATCTTCTTCAGTAGCACAGTCAACTAATTGTCTACCTCGTTTGTGATCAAAATCTCGCATTTCTTGTTCACGCAGAAATGTAATTACTTACTACGCTCTGCACATACCACACGTACAATATAAAAAAACTTGAAAATATTTAACTAAAGAGAAGACTTTAAGAAATAATTACGCGAGATTAATTATAGCTATTCACAGGCAGCTCAAAGGTCTAAATCTTTTGTTAACGTTGAGTAATGCTTTGCTAATAATATGTCTGACGATGACGATGAGACGAGTCGCATGACGCCGCCGTAAGAGGGAGTAACCGTAAATTATAACAAAGTTATCATGGAAAAATCAAATAAATGCATCTTCCATGAAATAAAAAAACAAAAACTAGTAATTGTGCACTTACAAATTATTTTTAAATAACAGGGGTTAAAACATTAACCAAAGTAAATATTACCATCAACCGTGGCATATTCAAGATGCTTGACGAGAGAAAGAGACTTAGCCTCTCTTCTTTTACTCACTAAGAGTTAAAAAACTATATTTATTGTCATATAAAATATTTTTAAAGAGAAGGTTATACGTTATTCCTCTCTTGATTTTTTTAATTTTAGTTATGTCTTTGTAATACACAAACTAGGCACTACGAACAGGGATGAGCAGTATTTCAAAATACATATTTATAATACATTTTGTTTTTTATTTGAAATACATTACGAGTGTATTTAAAATATTAATAATAATTAGCAAGTAAAACAATTATATTAACTTGAATTCATATATTTATTAATTTTATCAAACATGTTTGAATTCAACAAAATGATTTTTTTACAAAACAATTTTGTAAAAAATTACTCTATGATATATTCATGGGAACTATCTTGAATCATCTGATATCTAATACTTAAAATAAATCGTGTTAGTGAATGTTTTATTAGATTCTTTATGTAATACAAATGCTGATTACAATAATAACAAAGATTGCGGTTGCCTTTTCAAATATTTTTAAAAACTGATGTAATTAAATGTATTTTTTGAAACTAGTTTAGTTTCAAAAAATAATAAAGTTCTGTAAACTACAGACATTTTTTCCTCGTTATTATATCATAATTGTTACTTAAATTTTTTTTTTTATTAAACCATTGTTACCAAACGTTATGCGACTTATAATAGTTATTTTACCTATATAACGACTACGTTAACTAAAATGCATATTATTTAGTAAATAATGACAACTGAGTATGTACATTTACAAACATTTATAAAAACATAAGTAATATATTTTTATATTAAATTTATACTATACTAGTGTAAAAATTTAATAACTACGTCAATCACTAATTTTTTACTAAAGCTACCCAAAAATTGTACCTTGTTGATAGAATTAAAAGAACTAAAATAATAATGTCATTTAATATATTTTGAGTGTTTATTTAAGTATACATTTTACATATTAATATTTATTAGTATTAGTATTAATATTTTAGGTTTTCATTCCAAAATTGACATATTCAGAACGAAGATGAACATGAAAATACTTGTTGAATATTACATTGATTACTAGGTGACTGCTTGTAGCCTTTTTGAATAATAAATTAGCCATTGATATTCCAAAAGTTCTGGTGTTGACAACAATTTAATATATTTATTTAAAAACAATTTTTTCCTTGTTCAAAATATTTCAGTAAAAAAATAAAATTCTTTTTTAATCAAGTATATTTTTATTCTTAGCTAAAAATAATCTTAATAAAGGTTAGTTTTTTAACATGAAATTATAACTATATTTATAACTAGGTTTGTTAAAAAACATTTTTGTTAACCTGTTTTAAACATAACAACTCTGTTTTTGATCAACATTTATAACTTTATAATATGCAGGGCAGGCAAGACTCATTTTCTTAAAAATTATTCTATAGATCTTTTTTATTAAGGGTATCAACAAGTTTGCACATATTTTTAAAAAAGATTATTTATAATTCATTATTAAGAAATAAGAAAATGTATAAACAGTTTTTAATGAAAGTTATAATATTTATTTAATAGTCTTCACGAGAGGTCAGCAAAATAACTATATAATAATTTAAATAAAGTGAAATATCCATTTTATAATTTAAATAATATATACTATCAATAGTAATTACTATCGTTGGTTTAAAAATATACTTAAGTAGATTTTCAACAAAAAATTATATAGTCTTAATTTTTGATTGTAATTTGTGAATAGTATCAATTGTTTAATTGAAAATAACACATGATTCACATAAATTATATTAATGAACAATATGTTTTAAAATTTGTTTAAATTAACAATATACTAATTCGACATTGATTATAATCTTAGACTTATAATAAATACATTATGATTAAGTCTACAATTATAATGGTAGTGATTGTTGACCATGTATATCTTATCAAAGTTTTGGACAATAAAATACCTATAAATAATAATGAACATTAGAAAAAATATATAGCCTATGTAATATATTACATGATTTTCTCCTAAAATTTTTTTTTACTATCAATATTTCATAATATGAAATATTAAAATATTGTTTAATATTTTAATTAACCTAATAATTTGTATAATTGATAAAGTACTAGTAAATTAAAAATATAAAAATAAAACAACTTTTAAAAGTTTATAAATAATATAGTTTATATTTGAATATTATACATAATCACATTCATATATAAATATATAGACATTTAAGTGTATAGCAATATTCAGGAGGCTTATATAAAAATAATTAACTATACACTCAAGTATTTAGTCATAGGATTGTAATACGAACTTAAAAAAAAATTCCATATTTTTATTTTAATTTGTTTACATTATACACAATACATACAACTTTGGGACTTGACTAATAGTCTAAGACACATAAAAAAAACAAAATATTATAAATTAATCAAATAACAATCAATATTAGCTATTTTATTTATGACACTATTTAATACACATGAACATAAGTTATATGAATTATAAATTATTAACAAGAGAGCAATACTATTAAAAAAAGATTTTTTACACTTGATCAATTAACAAGCCTAAAAGATTTCTCTTTATTTCAAAAAAAAAAAAAAAAGTTTGAAAATGAAGGTATTATATAACACTATTTTATTTGAATGGTAAAAATAAATAAATAATAAAATTATTAGCATAAATGTTTAATTTAGTTTAGAACAGTTACATATTTCAAATTTTATTGAATACAAGAAAAATACCATTAATAGGTTTATATTAAGGAGTTATAAAATGTTGTCTTAATAGCACTGTAATAATGTTTATGGCACATTGTTACATTAGAAGTTAAGTAGAACTAAAAATAAACAACTTGTATGTTTTTACAAATAGTATTTAAAATTAATTGTATCTACACAGTCTTTAAAAAATATATACATCAACCTAAGTCTTGATTTGAAAATGTCTTATATTAAACATGATGGATACTACTTTCTGATGTTTCACTATCTTCAAGTTTTCGCAATGTTTTCATAACTCTTAATGCTGGTAACCTAACACTAGGGTTTTGATGCCAACATTCTTGAATAATTTCAGATATTACCCTTAATCTCTATAATAAAAAAATATATATGTAAGTGTATATTATTATTAATTATATTATTTACAATTTGGAATAAAAAATGTTAATTTTAAGACTTATTATTATATTATTTTAATAAACCCAACATACATGATCACATCTCCATCTCATGGGTATATCAGGTCTCGCTCCTTGCACTATCAGTACAAGTCGCATATCTTCTATTGAAGGATCTGGACTAACCAAATTGCTGTAAGGCAATATATAATCTTCTACTTGAAGCATAGGAGATCCACCTACAGGCCAACTTTGCCTACATCTTCTACATAATTCCCATAACACTAAACTAGTAGAATACATATCTGCTGCTTTAAATGCACTAAAAGATGTAACATCAATTGTGTCATTTACAACTTCAGGAGCCATATAACGTCTCGTGCCAACTCTTGAGTTTGGAGCAATATCAATTTCATTTTTACGTCTATAATAATATTAATAATATAATTTTTAATACAACAAAATTTTTAGGTGTATTATTCAACAAATATTTACCCATCATATCGAACAGCTAAAGCAAAATCAGCAATACAGCATTCACCATCAGCTTTAACTAATATATTTCTCGACTTAATATCCCTATGAGCAATACATGGTTTTCCGTGAGTACCATTTATAGGTTCATGTAAATGAGCCAAGCCACTTGCGATAGAACGTGCCATTATAATAAGTTGAGCAGCATCAATAGTATTTTCTTTTAAATAATCATGCAATGAACCTCGTTTATGATATTCTGTTATTAACATCATTTGAGCACCTCCAGCACTAACTTTTAAATCAGCAGCAATGAAACCTAAAAAATCAACATTATTAAAATACAAAATACTTAAAAACAATTTATTATTTTGAAACTAACCTAAAATATTTTCATGTCTTAATAAAACAGTTTGATAAATTTCAGTTTCACGAAGCCAGCTTTGATCATTTATCGTAGTAAAAATTTTTACAGCTACATGTTCACCACGCCAATTTGCTAAACAAACTTTGCCAAATCGACCTTCACCAATTTGACATTCTATTCTAATTTGCTTGGCAATAGTTCTTTGTACCTATCAAAAAATAAGTGCAAATAAGAAAATGATTTACAAAATTGTATTAAAAATAACTTGTCTTACTAATAGTGGGATTCCAGAACCCGATCCTGATGAGTGTCCAATAAGGGTTTGCAACAAATTGCTGTTTCCAGAAATATAGCTATCAGTTGATGCCAGTGCATACAGTCTATTTTTTTCCCTTCTTCTATATCTTATATAAAACCAACCAATGACTATTGCAGAAATCAGTAAACACGTTATCATAGATAACATAAATGCTATATATGGCACTGAATTAATTTGAATTTTAGGAGGTGGAGTAGTTGTTGTGTGAGGTGTATAAATAGGGTGAATTTCTTTATTACACATATCAGTGTTGCAACACTGAATTGCTAAACCATACAAAGAATTTCCACCTTTACACTAAAAAAATTAAAAAAATATATTAATATTATCATATAAATTGAAAATAATTTAAAAATTTTAAATAGTTACTTGTAAAAACCCTTGCTCGCCAGCTGCTAGACAGCCATAGGAAGCTACTGGTTCATATTCACCAGTTTCTTCATTATATTCTTCTTGAATAGCACTAAAACATTGTGAGTGACGTGAAGTAATACAAGTACCATTTGGTTGACCATTTGGACATTGATGTTCACAATAACAAGTAAGTCCACGAACTGTAACATAACACAGTAGTTGATATAATTATAAATATATTAAAGAAAACATAATTAAGTTTTCGCTACATATGATTTAATCAAATAAGTTTTTAATAATAAGACTTAATAGTCGATAACATATGATAAGAGTTTAAGATGTATAATAACCCCAAAATATAGTTGTATGACATTTATTTTAGCTTCAGTTTCACTAAAATAATTTAATATTTATTTAGAGAATATAAAAGTAAAATATTGATAATAAAAAATTTTAATCAGTTGGAAAATGAAAAACAAATCATTTTAATAAGTCAAAACTCTACTTAATTATACTACTTTTAACTATTATTATAATCGTCATTTGTTTTATTGATTTTGCGTTGTTTGAAAAATAAAAATAAATGAAATTTATTTTATTTTATTTAAAAGTTTTTGATTTAAAACTCAATAAGGAGAGATTGGAGCACGTTTGAACGTGGAAAAGATTTGAATTTATCAAATTTAACTAATTTTAATAATAAATGAAGTTCACGTAAAATACAATAGATTGATCATATTGTAACCAACACATTTGATGTCTTTATTTTACGTTAACTTAATTTATCACTAAAACTTGTTACATTTTATTGATTCAAATCTACTCTACACTCAAATGCCGCCTATTTATTTTTAATTAAAATTATTATATAAGAGAATGTTAACATAATAATATCCAAAAACACCTGTTTTCAGATTTCACTGTGCTACGAAAATGAAATAGAGGGGAGTAGGTAGGTGGCGTATACAAAATATACCAACAGGCAAGTAAAAATCAAGCAATAACAATGAAACACCACTGTAAATGTAAGTCAATGTTTATATTTATACATACACATATATATAATTCAATGTCATATTCATAGTCTATGGGTCATTCTAGCTAACCCTTTTAATAAACAGGTAATATACATAAATAAATAAATCTGTGGATTGTATTAAAAACCTGATCTGACTGTAAGCCTTTACGAGTACATCTTAAGTTGGTAGTAGACTGACAATGCATAGTAAAATAAAATCTATCACAAGCACACCTTTCAAAAAAATATTTTTAAACTATACTCTAAGAATACTGATAAAATAAATATAGCTCGCACATGCACCTTTTCTCTACCATTTAACATTTACATAATTTATGATTTAAAAAGCAGTGGGCGTCAAAATGGTATTACAGGTCCAACAACTATCTAATAGAGAAAAGAGTACAGCGTTTGATTATTAATCATTTATATATCGCCACCACTAAGAGACTTGAATGCCTGTATTTTTCGTTACTATGTACAGGTATGTGATGTAGGAAGTTATCAAGTGTTTCAACACTTGACATATGCATCAACAAACTTTAGTAAAATGGGATGTGTTTAAAAATACTTCTTTAACTTATCCTTTAAGAACTAATTAAGATAAATAGAGCTCCTGTTACCTGAGTGTCGGAAAAAAAGCGTTTAAAACGGTTTTATTACTTTAGAGACTCTCGTAAATTTAGGGCGTGTCTTGCTACTAATGGATAACATATTCTACTCCTTTTTTTTCTAAAAAGATATGACCTCGGGGTTTTTAGGAATTTCATTTTGGGCTATCAAAATTATTAAATTTCAACCCATATAATAATTATTATGTTTTGGTAATAAATCCTGCGAAATAATTTGGAATTTTATTTATAAATTTAATGTATATTTTCTGAATTAAGCTATTGATTAAAAGTTAAAAATATTTGAAATATTTCCAGTCATTTATTTGAAAGAGTGAAAACTATAGACGTTAAACTAATAAAGAAATCTGATTAACTCTAACTTGGGAAAACAAAAATAACAACAGTAAAATACATAACTGTGAATCTCGTAGTAATACATTTTAAATTTATTCACTTAATTTTTAATAATTTTTTTTTTTACATTATGTTAGTTAAAAGTTGTTATAAATACGACAAGTGAGAACAAAGTATCTTATAAGGTGAAAAAAAAAATCATTATAACTCGAGAGTGTCGGATGTCACGAGCACGTGTGTTTTTACCGCAGCATCATGTAAAAGAGAACGAGGACTCCTCCGAAGTAATATTTAATGGGGTTTTAAATTTCGTAATGTGCCTGTGTTCTCTACACTGGTAGGACCTCACCGTGTAACTCATAACAGGCATTGCTATTTTCGTTCCACCTTCAACAGATTTGTGTTACCCGACGGTCGGCCGGTGCCACGAAGACGGCAACCCACCTTTCCTCGCTTTACCATAATAACAACCATAGGCATACATATACGCAATGCATGGCGGCCAATACCGTCGTCAATGGGTGACACAGCAACCAGCTGCTGCTGCTGCAGCAACGACCAGTTTTTTGTATAGACTGCCCCCACAGCCGCATTTTACACCATGTATACTAAACTCTTCAACAGACCCTTTTAAGAAGAACCATACACACATGCAACGAAGATGATGGTTAACTACACATAGTAATAATACACCCGTTAAGCAAGTGTTTAACGCACTACCCTCCCATTTTAAGAGCAAAAACGCGGTTGTTATAAATATTAAAGCACCGTTTACACCAAACGGATACAACGCTGTATCATACTTGCATTATAATTAAATTATGAAAATAATTAAGGATGATCACTAAACAAATAACAGATTTTTTATCTTATTTAGTTTACATATACAGGTTTTTTTTTTATCAGAAAACCAATAAATTACAGTTTATAATAAAAAAATCACATTTTAAATTAACAATTACAGATTTTACAGTCTAATTCTCAATGCAGTAGTAGTTGAGAAACATTATAAAAGGAAAATACTGAAATTAAGGTAATATTCAATATTAAAGATGGAATTAATACATTATAATTGAAAACGTAAAACATAACATTTTATTTTGAAACCAAACCATGCAATATTTTTTAAGAATAAAAATATAGTATTTATAACTGCAACATAATTAATATTTAAAATGTAAAAAAAAAAAATCATATTAACGTACGTAATTTAATAACTAAAATTATACTGTTCGTACTTAAAAAGGGAATTATTTATTTAGCTAATGGTAAAAAACATTTTACTTAAAATTATTTAGTTCGGGACAGTAAGGTACGGGAACGTGAGTATACAAATAATTATTCGCCTAAAAAATGTTGTCGTCAGACGGTCTGCATAAAATTATAACATGGAGCGAAATAAAATGTTGACTATCCAATATTTGACTAAAAGGTTGTAACAATGCTTATAAAAAAAACCACAGGGAGCATATATCAGACAATATCGGTGTTAAACCTTTAAAATTTCCGAAACGTGATACATTGAATGTGTGACCTGTCTATGTTATCATACGCAGAATCGCGTAGGTATGCGAAGAGAACATACCATCTTCGCACAGTGCCTGTGTGAGAGTCAACGACACCTGTATATTTTATCAGATACATACGAGTAGACACAATAGAAGATAATATGACGACGGCCAGGTGTGAGAAGAGCATTACCAAAAAAAAAAAAAAAAATGAAAAGAACAATACAAAAGACCATCTTTTCTTTTCCGAGGATGCAACAGTAAAGCCTTGATATTTTTGTATCGTCAGTATAATTTATTTTTCGACGCTTTTTATTTATTTTGAATACCTTCCATCGATGGAAAAATAATAATATAAAAAAACATTTCTTAGAGGAAACAGGTGGCTCTTTTCAGTCACGCTTCATCACGAAGTATAAATGAAATAAATACTTCTCTTATATTGCCATTATATTGTCATTGAAATAATATTATGGTCCATAATATTTATTCAAAAATAAATATAATTTAACACTTTGCCAGTTTTAATGCAATAAACGATAGCCAACTACTAGTGTATTAAATCAAACCGTTATACGTAAAAATTCACACAAACTTTTGGAACCATTAAACATTAATAATTACCTTTATTGAGATATTTTAAGGACTAAAAATAATACATATAAAAAAGTAATAATATAATAATGCTAAAATATAATTTCAGGTTACGTCACTAAAATTTTAATTAAGTAAAAACGTGGTATTAATAATAAGACTCAAATTGGTAAAATCAGAAATTCAATTTAATATCAGGGCTGGCGGAAGAGCAGCGCGATCAATGCATTTGCCAAGGGCCCAAAGTTTTAAAAGGCCCTACAAACGTATATGTGTAGATGAATAGGCTCTACAATATCTAGCGCTAACACTGATAATTATTTTTCTAATTTAAACTTATATTTATTTATAAGTTTAAATTAGAAAAATATTTAATTGTTACAAAGGCTTAAAATATGAATAATATAATTTTTCACAAGTACATAAATAGCTAGTAACTACTAGAAATAAGAACATTATTTTTTTGTTCGTGTTTCAAAACTATCCTAGTTACGATGAAAAAGTCACGTTTAACTATGTTTAATACCAGTCGTGGCTTATGGACAAAAAATAAAACCCGTCAAAATCCTTTGTGGCAAACGTGCTCCGGCCGTAAATCCTTCAATAATAAACCTATGGTGGTGGTAATGGCGGAGTACCTATACCATATTTTCTTTAGTATAGACCTCAAGACCAGAACAAAACGAAATACCTTTATAATCTCAATTCTCAGAAATAAACCACGTCCTGAAAATATGCATTAATATACAAGCCAATCATTATATCCTATATATTTCCAACAGACTTATTTTCTACCAAACGTGGGTTTTCTCTTCGGACCATAACAATTATTTTATTATTACTAGACATAAAAGACCGCGGCAGCTCTGGCCATTGGTCTGTCAGTAAATTACATTATTATTATTACAATTTTTGCATAACATTTATACATATTATATATACAAGTTATATTTCTTTATATAAAGTGGATTTTTTTAAGAAAATAAGTAATTTTTGAATTGCGGTTGGTTCAGGACATAACAATTATTGTTGAATTCACATTCAAAAGTTTCTCGTTTGTAAACTCTCTTATTAGAATTTTATTTTAAACATTACAAATCATTTATAACAAA